CCAATGCCAAGGCGACCCCAATCCGATGCCGACGTCAGGCCAAAGGGGGCAATCCTTTGTGGTAGATTTCAACAAAAATCCTCCTGGGGGGTGCAATAGGAATCCTTCTGCGACGGTCGCCAGCGCAATGCCAGCGCAATGCCAAAGCAAAGCCAACGCAATAGCAGCGCAACTCCAATGCGATCCCAAATTCGATACCAATGCAATGTCATTTGGGGGGCAATCCTTCGTGGTAGATTGCAAAAGGATTCCTTTTTTTTGCGGAGGGTTTCACTAGGAATCCTTCTGCGACGGGAGGCATTCGGACTCGCCAGCGCAATGCTAAAGCAGTACCAACGCAATGCCAAACCAACGCCAAGGCGACCCCAATCCAATGCCAATGCTGTGCCACTGGGGGCAATCCTTTGTGGTAGATTTCACTAAGAATCCTTCTGGGGGTTGCAATAGGAATCCTTCTGCGACGGGAGGCATTCGAACTCTCCAGCGCAGTGCCAGCACAATGCCAAACCAGTACCAACGCAATGCCAGCGCAATGCCAATGCGATCTCAAATCCGATGCCAATGCAATGTCGTTGGGGGCAATCCTTTGTGGTAGATTTCAATCGGAATCCTTGTTTTTTTGCGGAGGGCGTCAATAGGAATCCTTCTGCGAAGGGAGGCAGTCTGGCTCGACAGCGCAATGCCAGCGCACTTCCAACGCAATGGCAACACAATGTTAAACCAATGCCAGTTTGGGGCCATCCTCTCTAGATGTATGCCAATGAGAATCCTTCTGGGATGATGTCATTGCGAACCCACTTTCTGAAGATTTCAATAAGAATCCTTACGTGAAGGGCGTCGAATGCAATCCTTCTGTGGGGGGCTTTCAATTTGAATAGTTCCTGTGTGTGTGTCGGGTGTCACTAGGCATCCTTCTTGTTGGGGTGGGTTAGTAAGAATTTTCCTGTGGAGCGTCCGATCAGGACTCGCCAGATCTCGCCAGCGCAATGCCAACGCAATGCAAACGCAGTGCAACACCAATGCCATGGCGATCCCATACCAATGCCAATGCAATGTCAGTGGGGGCAATCCCTTGTGGTAGATTTGAATCGGGATTCTCCCTGTGGAGGGTTTCAATAGAAATGCTTCTGCGAAAGGAGGTAATTCGGACTCGCCAGCGCAATGTCAGAGCAATGCCAAAGCAGTGCCAACGCAATGCCAGCGCAATGCCAAGGCGACCCCGACCCAATGCCAATGCAATGCCAATTGGGGAAATCCGTCGTGGTAGTTGTCAATCGGAATCCTTCATTGGAGGGCTTCGCATGGAATTCTTCTGTGGAGGATTTCAATATGAACCCTTTTTGTGGAGGGTGTCAACAGGAATCCTCCTTGCAAGGGGTTTCACTGGGAGTCCTTCTGTGGAGGGTTCCATCAGGATTCGCCAACGCAACCCTTGCGACGTGCCGGCGCCATGCCAACGCACTGCGAAGCACAATTCCAGCGCAATGCCAAACCACTGCCAAACCAATGCCGATGCAATGCCAGGGGGGGCTCTTTCTTTCGAAACATCTCAATAGCAATCATCCTGCAAGTGATCCCAATAGGAACCAACATGTGGAGGATTTCAATAGCAATCCGTCTGTGGAGGGTTTCACTATGAACTCTTCTTATGGGGGTTTCCAATCCGAATCCTTCAAGAGGTGAGGGCAGATGAGGCCACGTCGGATTCTTGTTTTTTCCGCCGTCGCCCCCGCCCCCCCCAACCCCACAACAAATATACGAAACCACGTTTCGAAAGGAGAGGTACTCCACAATCCCCCCGTTTTCTCCTCCTCCTCCTCCTACTTTCGTCAATGTATCAATGTAAGTTCCCGCCTGCCCTTTTTCGTCCCCCTCCTCCTATTCCTCATCCTCCTCCTCCTCCTCCTCCTCGCCCTTCCCCTCATATTCGTACGCCTGTTGTTCATCCTCCACGTGCTCCTCGCTTTCCTCCACCCAGATTTCCTCCATGTCCTTCTCCCCCTCTCCCACTCGTTATCCTGCCCCCGTGTGGCTCCTCCCCATCCTGTTGTCCTTCCCCTTCGCCGTCTTGTTCCCCTCCCCGTTTCCGCTCCCCCCCTCCCCCTCATCTTCCTCATCTTATGTTCCTGCGTCTAAGTATTATTCGTACCCCGCTGCTTCTGCATGTGTCGATTTACTAGTAATATGAGCATGTGTAGTCGTATGTGTCGTATTGTGTGAAGAACATGAAATATAATCATTGCAGTTGCCCGTCGCCGAATTATTATTAGCATTCGCATCCTTAGTATTACAAGTAGTATTACT